TTTGTCCCCGCGCACCTGGCTACCGTAATGTGTTATTTCGATTAGAAAAGCAATAAACGTAAATACCAATCAGTATTATTTTTTTTGCGTCCAATAAAGTCCGTTACTGACTATAAACGGGGCGGCTTGTGGGGGGGAAGGTGGGGGTGGTCGAGAGGGCGCAGTGCGCAAGCCGGGTGCAGCAGAGATCGATGTCCGTAGCAGCCCGTCGGCGGTCTGGGTCGCTCCCGGTCGTTCACCTGGTTTATCCCCCGAACCCACCCCCGATGTTATTCCGGCATGTAGCCGGTAGAAGTAAGCCAGGCGGGGAAAGGGGGGAGAGAGGGCGCGCCGAACCCGGAAACCAGACTGTTATTAATAATTAAAAGCGCATCTCGCCCCCAGGAAAATTTTTGTTTACCAAAAATACAGAGATTCGGATTCGACCGGATGCAAGAAAACGTTGAATCATTTAAAGGGCCGCTAAAACGAAAAACGTGTAGTAATTTGTTGAACTCCTAACGGCCCGACGGCGGTGACCGCCATTGTTTACGCGAACCCTCCTTATCGGATGTTGAATTTTACCGCGTTTGGGCATCAATCTCCTTTTGTTTCCGGAAGAAAGGTGTCAGAAACAAAAATTGGATAATAAATTAATCCGGACGAACCCTACTCTGGATCGTTTGGTATGTTTAATATGAGTCTATTCATAGACGTGATCAAAACTATATGAAAGGAAAATTTTAGAATCGCAGAAATAATATCGGCTATGTGAAAAATATTAAGTGACTGCTGGGAATTTTAAAACTGGATCCAACTTTTTCATAAAAGGAACAGATTGGTTCAATCGCAACATCGCTTGCCACACATGTTGTGAAAATTAGTTCAAATAGTTAACTTCAATTTGTTGTGTGATTTTATAGGTTGTAGTAACTCGAGTAGTCATTAGAATATCGTGACGAATATAACATCATAAGTTAATAATTTAAGAGAAGAAGAAAATACTATAATACAGGACTGGATTGCCTTGAAAGTTTAAGAACCGCTTAGGACCAACATACTACAATAAAATTTGTAATAAAATCAAAATGCCCTGTGAAAATCAATTCTATTACTATAATTCATATAAAAAGAGAACCATTGGCCTTTGGTGCAAACAGTATTCGTAGTTCGGCCGCTTTGACTTTTATGAGTACTAAAGTCGATTGATCGGTAATTGAATTCAGAAACTTGGAGGCCATATTCAACGTGGTAAAATATTGGTAGTAACTTATGCAACAAAAATTCGAAATTGTAATATTTTCCAAGACATAGGTTGTCAAATTTTGTTTTCAATTTTATTTTTAACGGGGGCTTAATTCTCAACGGAATAAGTTGGTACTTTACACACAGTCCTGAATTAGTAAAAGTCATCGCCAAAAAATAAAATGTTTCAAGAATTTGTCACTAGAGGGCACTTTACCTCGAATTTTTTTTTTATTTTCCTTGTATTTTATTTATTTAGACTGATATTGCAAAATGGAACAGATTGCCTTAAGCAAAAAAGTGTTACTCTTCTTTTGACTCGATGAGATCATTGAGCCATAAATCGACTTTTTCATTCTCGACCCGAATACTTCTAATTTACGGAAAGGATATTGCGATACGCATTTCTGTTACGGAAAAGCCAGTGGAAATGCAGTTACGCATTATTAACCAGCAGACGACCTGCACTAAATTTTTTAAAACAGTATGCTATAACTTAAAAAAGTGAAAAAATGGCAAAGTCAATGAAATGTTTTTAATCAACCCGGCGCCTTGTAAACTTGGTAGTTTAGCAATTGTAAGTAAGTTTGGATTAAATACTGTTACTCGATTGACATGTATGGGTACCATTTTTCTTATTTTTCTTAGGTTAAACTACATTGTAAATGCAAAATGCGTCAATAAAATTTTTAATTTAACATGTTTAATTTTAGTAGAAAATTAAAGATAAATTGCAAATACCGTTTGCCATTAAGCGATCCGTTAAAGAAATGACGTCCTATAATTCCTGCACATACATTTAAACAAAGCCGGAGCTGATGTTTTCCTTCCATTTTTGCGGGTTTTCAATGTTTCACTGATGCATATTTCAAAAATTTACAATGCCATCACGACTGAATGCACCCTCGCCAGTGAACAAAATGACATTGAAGAATTGCGAGTAATTTTGAATTTTTCCTACAATTTGATTGCATAAAATTACTCTCAACTGAACCCTTTGAACATGAGGGGCCGAAAATCAAAACTTCCCAAACTGTAGAGCAAGCAATTCTTTCCCGAGTAGCAAGTTTTCTCGTACTCGTTGACGGGTCAGCATCCACATTTTGAAGTATTCTTTCTTCTTTTGCAGCGGTTCTTTTATACCTTAGTCTCTATTTATTCATATTACCTGGTTGGAATGACCCTCTTTCACCAAGTCTGTTTTTATTGGGATAAACCTCGATATAAAGCCGTCGTGCTTGATATGATATTCAATATTTGAATATTCCTGATGGGCCATCACAGTAGTAATTGGATAATAAGCTCTTTTAATAGAACCTAATTTTTAATGGATTGTGACAATGACTTTTTTAAATTTGATTAAGTCCTCTTAGGTAAACTCACATTTACAATTCACATTACATAAATAAAATACAGGGAAAAATGTTCTAGGTAAAGTGCCCCCTAGTGAAAGATTTCTGAAGCACTTTTATTTTGTAGCGATGACTTTTACTAACTCACAGCTTTGTGTAACATGCCAGCTTATTCCCTAAAAAATCAAGCCCACTGCGTTAAAAACAAAATTTTAAAAAATGAATTGTGGCAAGCTATAACTCGAAAAATATTACGATTTCGAATTTTTATTTTCAAACAACCTGTATAAATATAATTTTTTATTAAAGCAATACAAAATCGCGTAATGTAAAATACTGATAGTTTATTATAATGTATTTTTAAAACACTTGTTAATATGCATTAGCTTTTAAATGGTCATTATTTTTTTTTAAATAAAATGGTCAGTGCGTAAAGTTGCCTTTGATCTGCCAATAAAGTTCATAAACTTCCATTTAAAAAATCCGGAACTCCTAAAATAGGAACATGTGATCGATATTCAACGATGTAGCAGTATTTCCTTCGAACCAGTGACTTTGCCTCGATGATTGTTTAGTACATCTATTTATATTCATAATGGCGACGCAATTTGAAAATTTCTACACAGATTTTATAGCATCAAATTTTCAGATTTTTTTTGAAAAGAAAACGACGTACTTTCTCATTCTTCTTTTTCTTGCAGTAGTAAAATTGTTATTAGCAACAAACGATCAAAAAATATATTCAGTAGTAGTAGTAGCAGTTTCTCATTTGTAGTCAACCCCCACCATTTGAATTTCTCAGTCCTCGACAATTTCCATCGCACATCACTATTTCTCGGTCGATACTGCTGCGTCCCTCGATGCAGTAAACGACTCAGCTTTTCTCGTTTGATGCTTCTCCGATTTGGAGTGGCTTCAATAAAAAATGTACGAGAAATACGCAGAACGGCGATATTTTCCGATACCAGCTAGATGGGTATTTAATTAACCATGATTTTAGCAAAATTTCAAGCAAATTTACAGACGCAACCGGATATATTAAATTTGCTAAATGTAACGTTCACGTTGTTGGTTGTTGGCATTGTTTATTTTTAACTTGCATTTGAATAACCTCGTTGCTTGTCAATATTGGTTTAATATGCATGTGTGTTTTTGATGTTTGTTTTCTCCATCAATTATTTTACCTAAAACTCGCCGAAAACTGCCCAAAAACAACCAACCTTTTACCTTTACATTTTATTGTGTGTGAAATAATAGAAACAAAAATAAGTAAAAAGTGCTCATGTATATAAATAAATGCTATAATAAATGTATATAGCGTACGGTTTACAAAAAAGCATGTCTATCATTAGAGCAATTCTTGATCATATGCAGGTAACCCTCAAATCTTGGACGTCAGGCTTCGTGCAAGTTTTAGAGCTTCGGTAACAATCGTCGCGTATAACGTCTGCTGCACCTAAGGTTACTACCCTCACCTTGTCCGGGAAAACCGGCTGGAAAATGCGTTTCTACTACGCGCGCAACCCGGAACTTTCCGGGGAATTCGAGCCGCGTAAGCAGAAACCTGCCGGGCCCGAAAACCCCCGAAAAGAGACGGAAAACCAATCGGGTTCATTATGCGAGTTGATCAGCCCAGAGCCCTGTCTCAGGGTCATTTCGGGAAAATTTGTTACGGGTAGTTACAAAATTTAGTGTATAAATGTTTTAAAGTAAAGTTTTATGTACCATCGTGTGGCCGAAATTTGCCATGTTGGCCTAAGTACGAAAGATGATAGCCAGGTGGGCAACACACTATACACATGGTTTTTTATTTATGTATATCACCGAATGTAGAAACGACAGGTTTTCAGGGACATCTTTTTTATATTTATAAATAAAAGACATTCAATGTAGTATTATCGTGTAGTATTAACAATAAAGTTAAAAAAAAAACAAAAAATAACTTTAAAGTTATCTTGTCTCTTTGTATATTGTACCAGCATTCATACGACTTTCATTAAACGTAAAAAATCCGTGCAATGTATTTATACCTAATGTAAGCGGGTGTTATATTAATCCGAAAGAATGGTCTTTCTATTTTGCACCAGCTTTTGGAAATACCCCAAAATATTTCCTTTTGTAATTCTCTTGAATCGTACATAACTTTTGTTGAAATTTGGGACAGTTTTAGTCAGAACACATTTTCACATCATGATGACGAAATTAATAAAACTTTAGACATGGGATTTTTAATGATTTAATATTTAATCAATTTAATATAAAAACCTGAAAGTTAGCCTTTAGTTCAAGAGAAAAACAATTCAAAAACAAACGAGTGTAAATACGCGGTTTAACGAGATTATAATTTTATCAGCAATTTGATTCCGATATCGACACCGTTCCAAAACACCACGCGCAAAGGTTAGTGATATTTTCGTTTTAATTTATTTATATCAGTATCAGTCAGTCTCCGTATGTAAGCGAATGCGTGAGGTCGTGTTGAACTTTCCTAACCATGAGCGGGCAACATTTGGACTCGAACTGTGTGACTCTCACGAGATTTGTACTCGCCGAACAAAGTAAAGTACCGTACGCTACTGGTGAACTCACTCAACTCCTAAATGCGATCCAGACGGCAGTGAAAGTTATCAGCAGTGCCGTGCGTCGGGCAGGGATCACCCAACTGTTAGTACTCTCTATCTTACGATTGTAATTTTGCGATCGTTTCTGTTATTTTTAAAACGAAACGCTTTCCGTTATCTTACTTATAGGCACTAAACTGTTATGTTAAAAATAGAATGCAAACATCAGAGGCATAAACATTTCTTATTATGCAAATTAGGTCAATTTCTGAAAGAGCTGAAATATAGGTTATAAATTAATTTAATTTCCAAAATTTACGGTGTTAATGACGAAAACAATTTTGCGACCAGTGGCGTAACAATTTTTCCATGGTGCAAAATATTTCAGATTTGGAATGGCTGGTGAAACCAACGTCCAAGGGGAGGAGGTAAAAAAACTGGACGTTCTAGCCAACGATCTCTTCATTAATATGCTGAAGTCTTCGTACACCGCGGCTCTGTTGATTTCAGAAGAAAACGAAACTGTAATAGAAGTATGTTTCTTTTACATTGTTAAATCGCCACTTTATGGTACTTTAAAATCTAAAAATAGTGCTCTCAATGAATTGCCCCATTAACTGTTATCTTAAATAAATACATAGGTTGAGACAGAGAGAAGAGGAAAATACATAGTAGCGTTCGACCCGCTAGATGGCTCCTCCAATATAGACTGCCTAGTTTCAATAGGCTCGATATTCGCGATAATGAAAAAGGAAGATAACAGTATCCCTTCGTTGAAAGATGCTCTCCAACCAGGTACCAAAGTGGTCGCTGCAGGTTACGCCCTGTATGGTAGCGCCACCATGATGGTGCTTTCGCTGGGCAACAGTGTTAACGGGTTCATGTTGGATCCCAGCATAGGCGAATTTATCCTAACCGATAAGAATATGAGAATACCTTCTAAAGGGAAGATATATGCAATCAACGAAGGTTACACTCACCAATGGGACGAGGCGGTCAAAGAATATGTCAATAATAAGAAGGACCCGGCCAAAGGAAAAACCTACAACGCTAGATATGTAGGTTCTATGGTTGCTGACGTGCATAGGACTATTAAATATGGGGGAATATTTATTTATCCAGCAACCACGTCATCTCCTAAAGGAAAGGTATGGATATAGTGTTCTATATGATTCTATTCAGAAAAACAATGAAGCATTGAATATTACATTATCACATATTTATTTGAATTTTAAATTATGTAAAAATATATAAAATGTTTATTGTCCTTTCTAGCTACGTTTATTATATGAGTGTATTCCAATGGCTCATATTGTTACAAACGCTGGGGGCCTTGCGTCTAACGGGAAAATTCCAATATTGGACGTTCAGCCTCAAGGATTACATGACAGATCTCCCATTTTCCTCGGATCCAAAGAAGACGTTGAAGACATACTCGAAATTATAAAAAAGCACGAGAAAAAATAGACTGGATAAAAATAAATGCATTTCTTTTGTCTCACTTCAGTTGCAACAAAAAATATATTTTTATAGCATGATGGGTTTTTCTATAAAATTATTGTACAGCCAATCAAAGGGTTTCAAAAAATTTCCAAACTACCTTAACTCCGTGTGTAAGTCCTCCATCAAATTTGTCAACTGACCATGCTGGTTGTCGAAATATGTTGATAATCGGTTGTATTGCAGAATAGAATTTTGCACCTGCTCTCTTTTTTTATTAAGAAAAGCGGGAGAAAAATTCGGTAATTTCAGCAAGTGCCTTTCAATAAATACAGAAACTTCCCGAAAAAACGCCGCTAAATCAATTTGCCCCTTGCCGATTACACACATCTGCAACTCACTTTGGACTGAATCAGGATCAAACCTTAACTCTGAGTGTTTCAAAGATTCTACCAAGCGATCGCAATCTTCAAGTAGTGTATAGATGCTCTGAATTGTTTGAGTTTGCTTTTGCAACTTTTCTAGTTCTCGCCTTATACTTTCAAGTGATGGATATAATGGAAATTTCAAGTTAAACTCTTTGGTCATAGACTGGTATTCAATTTTCGCTTTTCTTGTGTCTGCGTCCAACTTTACAATATTTTCATGCAACTCTAAAGCTTGTTCTGACAAATCTATATAATGATGCTTAAAGTTAGAATAGAGCATTTTGGTTTCTCTTTCAATTGAATTTGTTTCCTTACGCAAATTATTTAGCTGATTTTTTGAAACACTGGTCGAATTTTTAGCTACTTTTAACTTATAGAGAATGTCATTTTCTGTATTTTTACAAAGATACTCATACAGAGCCAATTCCGATATCTTCAACAAAAATTTGGCAAAGCGGTAGCCCCCAGGCGATATTAAACTAGATGCCTGACACAATGGTATATCTGCATTTTCAAAACGTGAATTTAGCTCATTGATACATTTAAGAATTTCATTTCGGCATTTTGGCTCTTGCTTAGGATCATAAGGTGGCCAACTTATTAGTTTTTCTTTAACTAATTGTGGATCAAGTATTTCTAACAAATAGTACATAACTTCGAAAAATGCGGCTTTGTTATTTTTTACAAACATGTCCTTTCTAAATATCGCCTTAAATTCCTTCCTTGTTGGGTATCTCCTTGTAAGAAGATCCAGATTGGCATATAGGGTTTGGTGAACTTTCTGCTCAACTTTTCTGTGATCTTTAAAATCCATGGCAGTGACTAAAACTCGCAATCATTAGGAATGAACTTTGAAAATATTTAAAATTACCTTCTCTAAACGTTGAGGTTAAGTTTTTAAATTTGAAACTCAAAAACGTTGTGAAGATGACTTCCTTTTCCTCGATCTATGCCAAAGCATATATCCCAAAACAAACTTTATGTTGACAGGGAATATTCTATCCCATAAAACCTTTTAGTATTATTAAAAACATAAAAGCATATAAATGTAAAAATATAACTTATAAAAAAAAATGTCATTTTACGAAGCTCAAGTTGCGGATATTTTGAGATGTAACCAAAGAGACGAGAATTTCGTGAACGAGGTAGAAACTAGAATACATTCATTATTGAGACAATATAACACCCGAATTTACCACAGACTACGGGAATCTGTTTCATTATTTGTGAATGCTTGGTACTACGTTTTAACATCTTTCAGCAATATCCAGACATTGGGAGAGGAATACACTGGAATAATTAGAATTTCACATAATGCCATTCCATCGCGAGCTGTAAGTAAAAGCCCTAATAAGTATTCTTACTCAATTTCTGTATACATTTCAGTGTCAGGCAGTATGGCTGGCTCTATATATTGGTGGTGAACCAATGCTGGACAGATTCATAATCATCTCAGAAAAAAAAATAAAAAATTCATCCAGTCTAACTCAAGATGCCAAAGACAAATTATTGCAGTTACTGCAGTTTATAAGAGACCAAAAGCAGCCATTGAAACGACTGCACCATTCTTTATTTTACATTGATAAGAAATACTACAGTGTTCCAAATAGACTGACCAGCATAAGATATGTAAGCTAAGCATTGTCATCATTTTAGTGGGTAATGTCATTTATTTTAGGCATTGCTGCGTCAGTGGATGCACGATGACACATTCTCAGGAAGCTTTAACATATTGGGTCGATTAACAATATTTTATACATTGTTTACCATTTTTCAAAACTTATTTAATGCATTTTCAACTGACAGAAGTGAAAGCACCAAAGCCAATACATCAACTCTGTCGACAAAAGGCTGCATTGTCTGCTCAGAAAATATTGAGAACCCTACAGCGACACCTTGTGGTCACATATTTTGTTGGAACTGCATCCATAATAGTCTAAGCTATCAGAAAATCTGCCCTTTGTGTAGAGAAGCAGTGATTCCAAACAGGGTTGTATATTTGCAGAATTATATATAAAAAGAGAACTTCTGGTTATAGGGTGCATATTGAAATAAAAAAATGTTTACTTTAATACTTATTTAATTATTTTTACAACAGATAACGATGTTTTCCCTCCATTAGTACCTTATTGTTATCGATGAGATTATCACCATGTATGCAAAAATATATTAAACCTTCACCTATTTTCATCATTACTATGATTAGCTTCTTGTTTGCTATTAAATTGTCCAAAATCTTTTATCACTATATACAGTATCCTTATTCTATATATTTGTAATATTCACTGGTTCCTATTGACATACTTTTAATATTTTTGTTGTTCAAATTAAACAAACTTTCTGCTTCTCTTATATCACATGAAGAGGTCTTTCTCACATCTGACACTTGGTGCCACTGTTTTATATGTAATCAATTATTTTTGAAACAAACTGGCCTTATAAATTAAAAAACCTTTTTATCATAAACTCACTTATCATTATACCTTGAAAGCACCTGAAGATTCCAATTTTTTAGGAGTATAGCCGTAAAGGAAGATTGAAAAAATTACAAAAGCAGCCCCCAAAGCAAACTGTGCGCTTAATTGAAAATCGAAAATATAAATAGAAGCCACGCAAGAGATCACTATCGCTAAAGAAGTAGCAAAGCCTTTTAAAATGTTATCCGCATATTTAACAACAACGGCCACAATTAAACCTCCTACCGCTTGTAGTAGCACTAAGTAATTAACAAATTTATCGTATCCGAAAAAGAAACCCTTCTCTCTGATAGCTGCTCCATCATATAAGTAGCAAGACAGCCATCCAAAAGGAATGGAGCACATGGATAATTGCACATTCCGCATCCATACGGTTACGTCACTGCCCTTGAGCATTTTCTCAAAATATACCCCCGCGAATCCAGAGAGTACACAAGCAGCCAGTGCGGCCATAAACCCTATGAATCGATTTTGTCCTTCGGCATTGTGGGACGAGACAGATTCACCGCCTTGTGCCAACTGGACGAGAACAACCCCTACGATGAGAGTCACCAGAGAGAACCATTGAGTATTTAATAATGTCCGTTTTAGTATGAAGACCGAAAACATTGCCGTTGTCAATATTTTTAACTGATAAGTAACCTGGAAAGAACAGAGTGGTTTGTGGTGCATAACAAGAAATTGCTTACCTGGTAAGTTGCAGCATCTAAATGAGAAGCCGATACATAAAGAAGATTATTCTGAACAAGGTAGACAAAGGAAGGAACGCAAACTTTTAAAGTGTCCATGGGCTGTTTGATTAACTGTTTGTCAATGGTGTCTATCAGTTTGGCAACACCACCCGCTTCTACGTAAACAATTGCAACGCAAGTTACAAATTTGACCACTTCCGACATGAGAACAGCTAAAAATATTACTGGTTCTTAGCCGTGCACCACAAAAATCGTTTATTTATCTATTTTATTTATAAATATGTCTTTTGGTTTAAAAACTTAGAAATGAAATTCAATGGCAAAATTTGGCTCAGTTGAAAGCTGCTAGATCAAGCGAAAACTCTTTCTTTCTTCATAATGTTTGTCCTCTTTTTTTAACTAAATAACTAACTCAATCCATAGTAAGAAGGCAACTCATCAGTTGGTACTTGCTAATTTTGAGATAAAAAATATACTTGCATACATCTGGCCTCACAAATTTGTGTCTTTGGTGTATAGAAAACATTGAGTTCAGGGCAAGTTAAGGAAATCTAGTGTTAAATTTTTATTTTTATCAAACAAAACGGTTAGCTTTGGTTAGTTAGTATAAGAGAAAGCAATTGTGTATAAATATAATGCGGAACATGTGATAACATAATCCGCTCCAATAAATTTGATATCCTTATCTAAAGCCCCATTTTGTTCGAGAAGTTTGACGTGCAGATTAAAAAATTAAATATTTCATAAAAAGAACTTGCTGTAGAACCAGCGTAATAAAGCAATAACTTACCAGTTGAAGAAAAAAACATATCTCCATCTCGGGTTCTTGCGTATCGCATACTCAACCCCAAAATTGCATTTTGCAATGTTAACGTTATCAAGCTAACGTATTTGAGCGTATTATTCGAATCGGCTAAAATAGTTAAAATGTTACAATTTTTAAAACAATTATAATAAACTCACTCACCTTTCTTTTGCATTTTGCTGGGATTTTCTATGGCTTTTTTGACACAAACGGTTTTCTGAAATAATTGTAAAAAGGTGACTATCGGAATAATACTAACATGTTTTAAAAAATAAGTCTAATTAATCCGTTTCGTAAGTAAAATCATGTTTCAAACATTTTAAAAATGTTTTGACACGTTGACATTCATAGCCAAACAAGAAGTTGGTCGGTTTCCATTTACTAATTTTGAAGGTGTTTGTTAAGGTCACTGTCGTAAAACCCACCAAATCAGGGTCTGTGAGAAAACCTAACCTATTTTGTTTTCCTGTTGGCAGAAGAAATGATTCGAAATGAGTGTTTTCGAAAAATGTTCATTTATCATTGCCGGTCAGTAGCGCAGTGCAATAGACTGAATTCTACCGCTTCAAGTGAATTAAATATAAAAGCACTTGAAAGCGAACAAGCCCAAAGCGAAGATGGTAAGGAATAAAATGTTGGCAGTTTGTGAAAATTAAAAATTTGTTGCAGTTTTTGACGATGAATTAAGGCATAAAGAAGCCCAAATTGAACGGAAACGAAACAAATCGCGCTTAAATGAAGCTCACCGCAATATGCTTATGGAAACAAATCCTTACCCTGAGCCTAAGTTGTGGCATCACGGTACTTTGAAGTACATGAGACGGGTCTACGGTCGATACGGCGCTGCATCTGGCGTCGATCCCGCTTTGTGTTGGCCTGTAAAAGAGGAATTAGAAGACGCAATGGAATATGAAAGGGTATCATATCCCTTTACAATTCCTCACATGGTCGAAGAAGCTAAGAAAATTAAGCAAGAGAAATATGAAAGGGTTATGAAAAGGCAGAACGAAATTGCTGAGAAAATGCTCAAACTGGAAGAATGGAAGCAACAGTTGCAAAACAAAATTGCTAAAAAAGAAAATGAAGCTTTGGATGCAAAGGTAGTATTTTTTTGCCCCTTGATTATTGTATTAAATGGCTGTGCATGGGTAACCAAAGAAAAAAGTGTATTTTACCTGATTGTCTCTTACACTGTGCTGCAAAGTATGGTGGGATCAAACTGAGCTCACAGTGTTAAAGTGAAAGTTGCTAGACAGGTTTGCATAGATTCCCATTTAATAAATGTTGGTAACTGTTAATGATTAAAAGCAGCGGTTGAAGATCTTTATTACTAAACATTTGGCTTTAATTTGTTTGAACAACCTTCATTTTTGCTTTCTATATTAAAAGTTTAATATTGCAATAGGTTAATTAATTTGTTTTTAAAGTATTTATGCCTTTTAATGTCTATTTAGAAAATTAATGTTTTATAGTTATATTAATTACTAAAGATTGTAAGATAAATTTAAATGGGTGCGGATTTTTTTTCTCTTTTGAAAAAGTGTAAACAATTTAATATTGATTTTTGCAGTTACGGAGAGAACGTTTGATTGAGGAGGTCAAAAAGCACTTTGGTTATTCAGTTGATCCAAAGGATGATAAATTCAAGGAAATGCTGGAAAAGAAAGAAAAGGAACAAAAGAAGGAAATGAAAGCTGCCAGAAAGAAAGCCAGGGAGGAAAAGCTGTTGGAAATGCTGCTTGAAAAGAAGAAGAGTCCGAAAACTGGAACAGCTCAAGAACCATCTGATAAAGTTGAATAATTGACATACTTTTTTTTTTTAAATGTGTATATAAATTGTTATAGTAATTTAAAATGGTTTGGTTGTTTATTTTAATTCTTGGTTTTGTTCAAAATTTACAATAACAATTTACATTTTTTTCTGGCTGAAGTTTGTATATTTATGTATGATTGAGCACGCTCGACGTACTTCAACCAAAAATTTGCATTTACCGCCTAAATTCCTTGCTTGCCGATTCCGGCAATTTCTGTGGCCCAAGAAAAGACAAAATATATTTGAAAATTTTGTGGAGAAATCTGTAACATCACGGGCGTGGTCTTGCTGTTATCAATTCAGAGTCCGCGAGATGGCGACAGTGATTGCGATCAAAACGAATATAACCGCTTTTAATGCGGGGAGAGCGTTGGCTGAAAACTGGCTTTAGAACGTTTACTATGCGCGTTTAGTGTGCGCCGTAATCTTCGCGTTGTCCAGATTCTTTGTACCATTCCTGGCATACCACAAACAGACAAACTCTTCGTATTAACGGACCAAAATCCGTCCTAATTAACGTGAAAGTTGCCGTAGAGGCTCCAGTTTTCGAATTTGGTAAGTACTTAGTAGTTTAAGGACGATTTTCATACATTTCGTAGTGTGTTTCGAGCGAAAATATCGAATGTAACGTGAGCAGTGCCTACAATTCCTACAATACTTTACATACTTGTCATGCTTGGTGTTCGAAGTTCCGACGACCGACGACGTCGGCGGGTTTCGGTTTCACTTGAATTTTGAATTTCGGATTGACAAAATATTGAGGAGGATGTTGACGAATTTATTGTGTTTACTATTGCGGCCTATTGATCGTTTTGAACGTAATATGAGTGCGTTTCCTCGTTCTCGTTAACGGATTGTGAATCACGGTGGTGGACAGCACGATATAGCGGCCGTCTTTTGTTTTATGCACTCACCGGACAACATTAAACCGCGCTGGAATACGGGGGTTCGTGTGTTGTTATTCAAACCGACGGGACATTTGATTTTATTTTCCGGGATGATGTAAAACCAGCACCGGTCTGCTACGGGGCAGATTTTACGGACTGTTTTTTTTTTGTGATTTGTTGTGTTGATATCTTGCACGGATTAATCCGTTTTGGAGTGCGCGTGGCTGTAGGATCGGTTGGGATTTACGCTGTTTATACAGAACGATGTATTTAGGTAGCGTATTTATTCTTTTTATAGTGTAAATTTCGCAATTTATTTACAGTTGAAATCCGGCAGTCAATATTTGGGGAAATATTCCATATAAACATTGGTTCAGTCGAAGAAAACGGGCATTGTGAACACACTATTGCCCGCTTTATTGGCGAACTTATTGATACACTCTCGTACCACAATTTGTATAGGGTGTTCCAAAACTCCAGGCACCTATTTGCATACTAAAGAGAAATTATAATTAACGCATTTTTTAATTTACAAACAAAACTAAAAAAATAATTGCATTAAAAAAAATAAATTTAAAAAATTAAAACTTCCTGTTGTAAACGTTGCTCTTAATTCCTGACTAAAAGCCTGTTAACTTAAGATTTTGACAACATATTTTCACTTCCACGTTTTGTTGATTTTTTATGACTTTTGCGGAATTTTGGAGAGGAGATTTAAATTAGCAGAAATATATTCTCTAAGGCTCAAACGGTGGGCAGTTCAATCATAATTACTACCTGAACAGTTTTAAGCCTTTGTTTATGTTGGCTGCCGGCTTTTAGGCAATCTATGAACTTAGATATATTGGAGTGTCATTTATTGAAATTGTTGCGTATATATGTGTGAAACCTGTGACATATTTCTTTTATTATTTCTGAAATCACCACAAGAGTGTATCTTCCGTTCGTTTGTTGAATTCCGATTGGAATCTTGCTTGGTTGCTTGGCTTGAAAGTGCGGGTCGCACTTTTTTATCGATCAAGATTTTGTGGCAGATTAAATTCTTGTAGTTACAAGTTAATTTATTTATTAATTCTAAATTAGATAAAGTGTTCTGTTTAAAATAAGCAAGTTGAGCCATACTTCCGGTATAACTGGAAGTAAGTCCCCAAATTTTCAAATGCGGTAATTTGTTTGTAGTGTATATAAGAAAAGATACACATTTTTCGTTCATCACTAAATGCATAATACTAAATAAATTAATAAATAAATAATACAAGCAAAAACAATTTAAATAATTCAGCATCCACCTGTATTCTTCGTTTATCGAAGACACTCATTAGAATTTGGCCCCGATGAATACAATTTGAATTTGAAAGAATCACAAAGCGAAATTTTAATTAAATTTTTGATAATATGATTGGTACAATTTAATTTTGTATCCAAGATTAGACACAAATTTTTGAAAGACTGTTGAAATTTCAATATTATATTTTTCGAAATCATTGGGAAATCTCTGAAATATTGCTCGAAAATCTTATGGTTATGTGAAATCCATAAAATTGTGCTCCAATTTTACATCATTTTCCAATTTTTTAGAAACCAGTCAAAATAGGTTATTCGCAACCGCCACGTTAATGGCCCGCCAATTTTATTTTAGCTGTAGTAAATAACGAAAATAAAAACGTAAAGTGCCGAAGTTGCGCGTATAAGGTTTTTGCTTTCACATTAGTTTGAAGCTTGTTTGGGATGTTTGGATTGTACGCAATTCGTCTTCACCATTTACACGTGAGTTTGAACCTCGTTTTAAATCACTACTCTGTTGTTCCCTCATCATTTTCTAAGAGTTTGGTGCCTGTTAGGGCAGTTTGAGAATAATCTTCCAGAAAATTGTTGTTATATTATTATAAATATATTATTATCAATATTTTCTTTTCCCAAGTAAAAAAAAATAAATCTTAGTTTTTAAGAATTGAATAGTAGAACGAAAGAAATAGAGGAGGTATGAATTTTCAATTTCATCCGACACTAACTACACTGATTTGAAAATGCTTTTAGAAGAGAGACTAAGACCAACGAACCTGGAATTTTTGGAAATTGTGCCCAAGTTCGATGAAAGCAAATATGTGGAAGAAATTCTTCTCGAACTATAGTAAATAATTTCGTAGTCACACTCTTACTAAAGTTCAGCCGAATGTTAATGTGTGTATTTCCTAACTCTCTCTTTGATGATAAATTATCATTGCAGAACCCAAACAACAACCAACATAGATAACCTAAAAAGAGTCGGTGGGTTTTCTTCTTCCTCTTATTAGATTAAGTTAGCTGGATATCAAAATTAGTATATGCAACAGTTGCTGCTCTGACGACAGCAATGGATATTATCATGGAAGCTTACGATCATAGCATGCAAAGTACCCTCGTGTTGTTGGACTAATCCTAATCAATACCCTGAATTGGACCTTACCTCTCTGATAAGTTACAGAGGGTACATTTAGGTGACTATTTCTCTTGCCAAGTACTGTCTGGAGTGTCACATGGGTCTATCTTGCCTCCGTTGTTTTTTTATTATATATACGTCCGATTTCCTTAAGTCTAGAAAATATTGCAAAATATGGACATACGATGGTGAAACACAACTTTATTTTCAGTTTGAAATAATAACTAATTTTCAATTTGTTAATCAAGAACTCGAACTTATTAAATTCTAACTTTTTTTAAACATAGCCGTTTTATAATTCTAACATAAAATGGCTATGTTTAAAAAAAGTTTTCACTGTCCGAGCAATTGCAATCAACAAAGACTCAAAGACAAAATAGACAGTAATCATATTACAGAAATTGACAATGTCGAAACTGCCTGGCAAAGAATAAAATCAAAACATTCTGAAAGCCGCAGAAGAAACTATGGGAAGAAGAATTTCAAACAAATCTACTGACTGACTGACTGACTCAAATACAAGTGGAGGGCAGAAAAGCACGCAAAATACCTATGCAGACAGGAATAAGACAAGACGACATTCTTTCCAATCTGATAATGGATGAACTAATATCTGAAGTGAAGAAAATTGGAAAGGGATACCGACTAGGGGACAAAGAAATAAAGATAATCTGCTATGCGGACGATGCCGTGTTGATATCGGAAGATGAAGACTACCTACAGAGAATGCTCTTTAAGTTCGAAAACATCGCCTCCAGTGCAACATGAAGATATCGGTAGCAAAATCTAAATCACTAACAATATCAAAAGAGCCCAGACGATTTAAATTGGCCATTTTCAATGAACCTGTAGGTCAAGAGTTTTAATTATTTCGGCGTTAGCGTTACGAGCAGCGGAGATCTCCAAAAAGAAGTAAAATGGCAAACAACCAAGGCAGCCTTACCAGCAGGGTACCTGCAAGCTGTAATATGGCCATACGCTGTATAAACAAGAGCGGAAAACTCGACAACAAAAAGAATCATCCGAACAACAGAGATGGGAACTCTAAGAGCTATAACAGACTACACACTGAGGGACCACAAAAGAAGCGAAGACACCAGAGAACTTTGCGGTAATCTTGATATTGTACGATGGCCCTGAGCAGACCTCTTGGACGTCCCCTCATATTATGGCATGAGAGCTGACTATAGAGCACAAGGCAAAAGCCTTATAAAACAACAAGGAGGAGAAGAGCAATTACTTCAAGTTTAAACAAACCAATTCATTGGGGCAGTATCGCTGATTTTTTTCTCTCGTGTATGACTAGCTATTGCTAGACTTCGCCCAGTGGGGCTAACGTAGGTAACAGTTTATTATTTTTATTTTGAAATAAAAGTCGATTTGTTATTATTTTTCAAGTCTACGGTTTTTACATTGATCAGAAACCAGTTTGTAAGAAGCAAGTTCTTGATTTTACGTTAAAAGATGGTCTCCGGACCTGGCGTAAAACCGGTCCTGGAAATTTTAAACCCGCGAAACGTATATATACGCGAATTTTTTTCTTTTTTTCACCCGCCTCGCGATAAACCTCGTCTCGCGCGCTTTTATTTTTTCGCATGCGGCGTCCTCAAAGGGCCGAAACAAACGGGAAAAAATTAACGCGAGACAGTCGCAGACGAAGAAACGCGCGAAATATGCGACCGTTGCTGGTTACGGAAGACGGGGGAACGGGGGGGACATTCCGCCTTTTTTAGATTTATTCCGCCGGTATACGAATTTTCCAGTGCGTAATGATTAACCGCGCGCGACTTTCGAGACGGTACTTAAGAGGATAATAATAAAATTTATGGTCGATAAAGGAGAGAAGCGGCGAAAAAATGTCGAGAGACGAGAGGCGCGAATTCCTTCCGAGAGTCTCTCGAAAAGCGCTGCTGTACTTATAAAAATGGACGGTGGAAACAAATGCACTGGACGTTGCGATATTTGGGGTGGCTAGACGGTCCCTTTTCCCGGATATTTCCTCTTTTTGCAGAATATATTTACTGATCTTTTGGCATAACGCTCACAAAACAAAATAAAAGAAGCGATTTAGTATTATTATTAGTATTCGTTTAATAACAATCTTGTTAAAACCTTGAACGACAGCAATATGAACACAAATTGTATTCCATTTCTTTCATATTACTAATAATAATTGTAAAGACTTGACCGACAACGGTATTTTTTCGAATACTGTAGTTTAGCTGTCTGCAGCCTGTAATCGAAGTCGT